ACAAGTGTAGTTCGAAATCTTTAAATATAGATCTTTCTCTACTTTTTTAAATAAAGTTTCAACTATAGCATTTACAAAAAAAAAAAAAAAAAAAAAAAACGTATAAAATCTAAATTATCGCTAAGTGTATATTCTTGAGGAATAGAAAATCTGGAGCTGTTTAAGGTCAATTCCATATTATCATCATTAATCAAAAAATTTCTATACTTTAAAATTTTTTTTTTATATTTGTAAACGATATCTACTTTCTCCTTTAACCAGTTATTTACCGAATCAATAGGAATTTGATTAAATTTCTTCATAAACCTTTCGGTATCTTTTCTAAAATAAAATAGTACATGTGATAAAAAAGAACTATGCCGGAAATCAAAACTTAAATAACGTCCTTGAAGTTGATAAAAATCTACTGAATGAATTGCTTTGATTATTCCTTCTTTAATGATTGCTTCTTCACTAGATAAGTCTGCATCTTCTTAGTAGATAAGTCTACATCTTCTTCACTAGATAAGTCTACGTTATTAAGTAAATAAGTTTTTTTAAACTCCCTATGGCCAAGATATATTAAATTAAATTAGTCAAGAAAAAAACGGAGAAATAAAATGCTACTTTTTTAATTACCTAATTAAAGCGAAGGGAATACATTGCCTACAAATTTTAATTATTAATTCATAAATTATTACAGGATCAATTAATACATTTTTGCAATATAGGCATTTTTTATAATTATATAAAAGTTTGATTTCTGGCTTTAATAATCTTTCACGAAATTGAAAAAAGTAATTCCTCCAAAAATTTTGATAATCTTCAAAATGTAATTCCATCTTCATTTTAATCGTTTGATTTACTAATAAAAAACTAAAAATATCACTTGGAGATAAATTTAAAACAATATTTGCTAAGATTTCTGGAGTTTGCAATATTTCGAATGTTGATTTTGTTTCGACAATCATCGAAGGGCCAGCTTTAATCTCAATAATTTCGACAATCTTCGAAGGGACAGCATCAATAGTACCTTAATTAACGATTTAAGTAATTAAATAAAATACTTTATAATACATAAAGAAAATTAAATATAACATCTTTCCTTACCTAGTTTATATTTATTTTTATACAAATCAAATACTTTTCGAATTTCATGTAATGCATTTATCATCTCTTGTTTTTTTCTTCCTAATAATTCTTTATTTTCATCTAAATGAATTAAACCGAAATTCTGACTAAGATTATTCATTTCTTCATGTAAATCTTTATTTTCTTTTTTCAAATCTTTATTTTTGTTTCTCAATTTATTAATTTCATCTTGTAAGTTCTTGGCTTTAAAATTCAATTGTTCGATTATATTTTTGAAATATGTGATTTCATTTGTTCGAAATTTATAATCATCTTCAGAAATGTCTTTGCGCCTATGTTGACGAAGAAGAAGGCCCTCAGTAGCTTGAAGATATGTGAGTGCACCTTCTACAATTTTATTAGACGAAAGTTGAAGTCTTGCTTTTTGGAGCAAGGATTGGCGAGGCATTCTCTTCTATCCTTAAGTTTGTAATCTAATCTTGACTTTATAAATAAAATTTTTCTATAAATATTTATTTTTAAATTAAAAAAATATTTATTAAAAAACTTAATTAACCTCTTCATGAATTATTTATTTATTTTCACATGATTATTACATATATTTCTTTATAATAAAAAAAAATTGAATCGACTACGATAGAAAGGCTTTCGTTTAATTGGATGATGTAAATCAATTTCATGGGTAACATATACACTTTAACTCAATTTCTAAAATAATAACGATAATTTATATACATTACTATATACATTACTATATACACATTACTTTTAAAATCGGAATTGAATACATACGATGTATAAAAATAAAGTTAGTGATTTTTAATACTCGGAATTACAGTTCGAATTTTCGATCTTTTTTAGGAACACAATAAAATTTCTCGCATAATTCTTAAAGAAGCCACCTGATGTATATAAATCATTATCAAATATAACCAGTATCATATATTAGATTATTTAAATTTGGCTTTTTAGGGATATTGATATTTTTTTAATGTCCGTTGAATACATTTGAAGTTTATGCAATACTTAAAGAAGTAAAATATCACACAATTCTATTGAAATTAAGAAATTTATTTTATACTGTCGAATTACAATAAGAACAGTTTTAATATCGATATTATATTATTCAAATGAGATAATCTCTTAGTAGAGATGTGAACCAAACATTGAACAGATAATATAAATAATCCATAGATTTAATGTAACCTGTAGATTATTTATATTATTATTTAATTATTATCATTTACTATAGAGTATAAAAAAGTAAAGCTTTTTGACATTATCATAGAATTCATGCTAACTATAAGATAATCAATTTATATAAACTTATCTCAGGTTTTGACTCATTTAAGGTAAATGCTCCTATTTTGAAGCAGGTAACATTTATGATAAATATCACGTGATACATCGATCAGAGCTAGATGATTTTAATACCATTCGATTCATCTCATTGAGATGAATCGAATGGTACCAAAATCATCTGATTCTAATCAGTGGATCACAAGATATTATTCATTGAAGTTTGTCTAAAAAATATGTTCTTAATTTGTTGTAGTGCCTAATTTGACGCAGGTAAACGTTTACGATCAATATCACATGATATATCGATCAGAATTGCAAAATTTTGGCACCATTCAATTCGTCTCAATAAGACGAATCTATTTTGCAACTTAAATCTCATTTTTCAAAATTGACCACAACATGCAATTTAATTATTAAAATCATTATTATTGTCTGAAGTGTATACTGCTAGGCATTTGGATCTGAACAATCACGAGATGCACGTCTGTCATGCTGTGTAATTAGCCAATCACAGATAAAAATTCGTACCATATACGCGTCATCCTTGAAATAGAAATAAATATGTAAATTTTGTGTAAATGCATATAATCCGGTTTTCATTCTTGAAATCGAAATCTTTTAAAAACCGTTTTATAAATATGTATCAATAAAAGTAAATTTTATGAAAATCATGTAATTTCTATTACATCAAACCGGAATTAAACCTAGAATTAGAGTAGCTTTTATATTGGTTCCAAATTTGGCTTAAATACATAGCAATAGAATTTGTAAGTTTTCATATTATACAAAATTCATTTGAGTCAATTGTCATGACCTCTATAGACAGTTCGAATTTTCGATCTTTTTTAGAAATAAAATAAAATTTCACGCATAAATATAATCAGTATCAATTGAATATGACTATAAAAAAGATAGATTACTTTTAAAATTAGAATTTTAGAGATTGATATTTTTTATTGAAACACATGATTCTGAAGCCCAAAAAGATTATTTTACATGAAAATCATCATGTCTATTGACTGACCCCTTATGCAGTTCATCCATCAAATTCCCTCCCCTTTTGAAGTTTGTGCAATATCTTAACGAAGTAAAATTTCACGCAGCAATTTTTAGAAAGATTGAATATTGCGCGATTTTGAAGCCAGAAAGTTTATTACACGCATTAGATCAACTTGTTCATTGTTTTTTTAAAGGTTAATTTCACATTTTTGTCATACATAGTATGTTTATTGACAGACTTTTATGGTGGCTCAGGAGTGATAAAAATAGGACAATGCAAAGTAAGAGAACCTTTAGAAGAAATTATCCGTTAAAATCCTATATAAGATCTCAAAATTCTACATTTTTTCAGATAAAACTCAAAATTTTATTCTTTGTTTAAAAAAAAAATGCACAAAAACAACAAATACCACAAAGGCAGCAGCATTATCGTCAGTATCCTGATGAGTGTACCTTATGTCAAGGCTATTGTTTGTATGCACATGTAATGTTAAGCTCGGTTAACAGTGAACAGTTGAGTACGAGCTCTCAAATCACTGAGATTGAAGAGTCAAGTCCGAACGTGCATCATCAAAATCAAGCGCATCAAGCCAATAATCTGAATCACCAAGTGACTACTCAAAATCAATTGCCTCCGAGTTAGGATAATAATTATGTGCACGCTCAAGTGAATCAAAATCACGCTCCTCTAGTTAATAATAATCGTCAATCCAAACAAATTGTTGATCATTCTCAACTTGTTCTACACCACCGTATGCAAAATAATAATCCTCAACCTATTCATCAAAATAATAATAATTTCTACCCTCAACCTAATAATCCCCAACACAGTTTTCAATTTAATGATCTTCCCCAACCCAACCCCATTAATGATCGAAACCGTACTCAAAATAATAATCCTCAGCCTATTCAGCCCATTCAACAGAATAATTGCCAGCTTCAACCTAATAATCTTAATAATCTTCAACCCTGGCCTCAGCCCAATCATAATGATTCTTCTCAACCTAATCAACTCGTTCATGATCGACACTATATTCAAAATAATAATCCTCAACCTATTCAACAGAACAGCTTTCAGCCTCAAACTATTCAAAATAATGTTCATCCTAATCAAAGTCTTCAACAGCAAATGGATCAGGTGAAAATGTATCTCAATGCCATACTTGTTGAACTAGGAAGTAATCAAATTAGTAGAGCAATTCCTTCCCTTTACGGACTTTCTAACTCCATGGAACAACGAAGTAATGAAAATAGCATGCCACCCGCTACCTATCAAGAAACCCAAGAAACCACAGATAACATCAACCAAAACCAGTTTCCATCTTATTCCTGCCATGCAAATACTAATGTCACGAATAGCATCAACCAAAACCGTACACCTCATTCCTGTCAATCACAAGATACAACAGTTTTTATTAATCAAGCACCCTCAAAACTTCGTACTTTTCTTTTCTTTTTTATATGTTTCATCGTAATACTTTTATTCATAGTAATCGCTTCCAATATGAATAGTCAAATTAAAGTTTTGCAGTCTATTTTTGATGCCAATGGAGATTTTTTCTTACATGTACAAATAATAAATCAATTTGCTTCATTGATTAATTCAATTTATAGCATAATGAATTATTTTTTGACAGTATCTAGACGCATTAAGTAGGCGTTTGATAGATTAATTTCCGAATTATTCAATTTTTTTTTGATAAATACTTATGTTTTAAAATAAAGGTTTTTTTCTTACATATTACTATAAAAATTATTTTGATCTGTTATATCAATTGTTAGATTGTTACTACAGTAGAATAAGTTATTGAGGATTAATAAGAGGCACTTTTGTGTAGTAAATCAATGCCATAACCAAAAATTTTACAATTAATTCTTGAGTTGAAATTGTTTCATTATCAATTCTTGGATATTTAAATTTTTCAACATTTTGTATAAGTAAAGATTATTTTTATATTCTATTTTAGTTTCAAATGTGAACGATAATTATTGCTGAGAAAGTTGATAATAAAAGCGCGTATTGAATAAGTTTATGGTTCATGTCCCCAATGTGTTGTCACATGATAATTTTGTATAGGGCTAGGTGCTGAGAAAAGGGATGAAATTGACAATTTTTTTCAAAAAACGTTTTTTTGCATAAATCAATTTAAAATAAGATTAAAATCATTTTTCACTTAAGACACAAAAGTAGTTGTATTAATAGAATTTTTGCAGTATAGCTCTTTAAAGTTTGCATTTTCTTATGATTTATTATAAGATTTACAATATAAAAATTGATTCTCCGAAGATCTTTTTTTTTTGTCAATTTCTTCGCTTTTCTCAGCACCTAGCCTATATATAATAACCAAAACTGGTATAAATACACGTGAATTAAAATGTAGCTAATTCAGTATATAAATGTTTTTTTAGATCTTGTACTACACTACACGTTGATATTATATATCAGAACACAATGTTTTCAGTATTTAAATCACAGTATTTAAATCATGCACTGTGAAAACTAATCGTGAAACAAAAATGAACTTTTATTTGAAAGAGATCAAAACAATCTTTTCTCATACTTACTTGTAAACTGTAAATGGTGTTGAATTATCATTCCAATTTTATGGAAACGTCCGTTGTTTACTCCAGGAGTCATCAGAATGTTTTTCTCATACCTCAATAAAGAAGAACAAACATCATTAATACCTTTTGACATCCACATTCTACCTAAGACATGCAGTACCCTATTTGAATATCCACGATACATCAAATACTGCTATATTGCTGATCTTATTAAAGGCGTTTTTGAACTTTACAATTGTTGCTTCAATGTTTTTAAATCTCACGTCATTATACCCATAACAACAAAACTCTTAATGAAAATAATTTTTCATTTCTGCACGAAACTCGAAAAATTAGTAATTGATAATCATGACATATTTTACGATGACATTATGGGAGAAGTTCTTCAAACCTTCCCGCTTAGCAAAATTAACAACAGCATCGATACTCTAACCATTAGACATTTTAAATTCAATCCTATAGTCTGGTACTATTTCACAGAACTACTCATTAAAAACAAATTAGTAATGTCGTTAAAGTTGACCAACTTGAAACTTAAGCCAAAATACATTACAAAATTAATCTCTGCTCTTCAATAAAACTCAAACATTCACTCACTCGATCTAACTTATACATTAAATAATAAAAGCGACCTCAAAAACTTATTTCTCGTTCAAACGTTGACCACCCTTAATCTTAGTTATCATATTCTCAGATCAAATATTGCAATCCAAGAAATCACCGACTTTCTGCACAAAAAACCACACCCAGATAGGTGGGAACAGGTTCTTAGTCGCAAACTCACTTAGCAAAAACAAAAGCTTAGAATTTCTAGGCCTCTGCCAAAACAACTTTTCACCTACCACTGTCGAACATTTTTAGAGAGCCTCTTTCTAAACACCACTCTAATCCAATTTGATCTTTCACGTGTACTTGACAATGACCAAAACATCATAATTCAAAAAGAAGAAAATATTCTCCAATTCTTTCCCGAATTCTTCTTAAAGATTATAGCTTATAAAGAAATTGAAGAAATCTTTGCTAGACGAATTTTTTTTCAAATTAATTCATTAGATATTTCACATAGAAATATTCTATTTACATGGATAGCAACATATTTCCATGACACTCTTCAATTTATTAATAATGATTGATGAAATTGGTTTTACTTTTGTAGAAATTTTTAGTAATCATAGCTGTTATGAATAAAAAAAAACCCTGATAGTTTTGTGTAATACACTGATGAATTGGTACTGCTGTAACCTTATATAATGTAGTTGTTCTGTATAATTATCCATTCCATAAATTTCTGGCGATATTTACTATTATATTATTTTTATTTTTTCGATTACAAGAAATCAATAAGCAGTAAAACCTCTTCAAAAATAACAATGCTCTTGGTGGATTTTTTCTTCTTCTGACATTGGGAGCAATTAATTCATTTAAAGAAAGAAAGGTCTTTGTTGTGAAATTAATGCAACTGCCTGATTGGTTAGAGTTAGAGTGATCTGCAAATGTTAGCCAATAGGTTTTTAGATTTCACAATCATTCGCGACAAAAATTAAATTTCTGTATCTTTTACAAGAGTTATAAATTATATTTATGGAGTAACTAATTACATTTTTAAATTTCATGAAGAATTTAAAAAAAATGAAATAAATTTAACACATAGTAAAGTGCAGCTTTTCAAAAAATTTGATATAAGAGCCTCAAATCCTACAGCTATAAGATAATTCTTTATCAAAAAAATATGTCAAGATATTGCTTGTATGCAAGATTTGCAAGAAGGGGGTTAGTAGTGACCTCAGTTCGAAGGCCTTAACCAATTTAATCAACAACCTCCTTTCGTTGGTCCCAAGCAATAATTTATTAATAATGTTTTTTTTTAGAAAAGAAAAATATAAAATAAAATTATAATGAGTATAATTAGAAGGGTATAGAAGTTATAGTCTTCTATGTGCTGGTATGCTTATATTAAAAAGTTTTATTTTTACTAAATAAACCTCTTGAGCTTCTAATAAAGTCTGTATTGTGTAGATACAGTTCTTTAAGTATAAGAAAGGACACATGATAGATATAGAAACCCGCCAGAGTCACATAGACAAAAAAAATTTTGGATCCAAATTTTCCAAGTAAATCCAATATTCATACATAATATTAATGTTTGTCAGAATTATAATATATGATTCTGAATTAGAAAATTGGTGAACCTAAAATACGAACTATAAACGAACTATAAATCTTAGATAGATATCGTATTATTCTGAAACATATACAATTTTAGCTAGTCTGACTGATTCGACTTTCCATCTTTTTTTTTTATAAAAAATAATTTTAGTGAAATAAAAATACAGTATATAACAAACAAATAATCTATACCAAAATTACGTGAGAATCTTTTTAAAATTTTTAGGATTGAAGACTTGAAAGCAGAAATTCGTACAAAGAATGATATTGATTATGGAGAATGAACTTCATTGATATGTTAAATATTAAACAGTTAATCAAAGAATATCTAATTGACAAGTGCATAAATGCGGTATTGTATTTATTTAATCTTGAATTTGTTAAATTTGCTATATGATGTCAGACTTTACTTTATCTAAATAGGATTTATTTTATTTTAGATATTGCAAAATCAATACATAACACCTGAGGAGTTACGATGTTTCCTAACAATAGTTCCATTACGTATAGATATTTGTACATTATTGTCACTATTGTTTCCTTCATTAACCAATTTATTTAAAATTTCCTCGGTAGTTTAAAGTTGTGATTTTAATTTTTTTAGCAACATCTATTAAATAAAGATTAGGCATGATTTATCAGCATAAATTATAAAATATTGATTTAATATTCATACCTTAATCTCTACTAAAGATTCGAGATAATCAACAGTATGATGTTTTAATTGCATTTTAGATGGTACATATATATTTTGTCGAAACAAATGACGACGACCTATTAAACTTCCTGGAATGTCATAAACGGTGATCTCTAGCTGATCATCTATAAATTTAAAATTTTAGATTAAATATTAAGTAATATTATATTTCATAGATCATATTATATATTGTACCTGAAATCCTTGTTCCAATGACAAATAAACTGTGCATTAACTTGAGCAACTCTTTTGTCATAAATTTTTTAAACTTATCTTCATAAAAGCAAAACATTCCATTGATTTGATCACATTGTTCTTGCAATTGTTTTCTTTTGTCATTACTAGGATCTGCACCTGGTTTTTTGGATTCTACTACCAAAAATTGGATAAGATTTTCTTTCATCAAACGTACTCCAATTGCCGCATCAATTTTATGACCCCGTTTAGATTTATCAATATTAAGAAATTTGGTTTCAAAGTTTCCAATCTTCGTAAAGTTTTCATCACTAAGATTTATTTCCGACAGCATTAAAGGAAGTTCAGTATTATCCACACTGGAACCTTCATGTAGACCTTGCCGATGATAGCGGGAGCAAGATGTTTCAAGTTTCCCACTGTGTTAAAATTCAGTTACCAAATTGTAATTATCAACATTACGATTACTGTAAGATTTACCATATTGTAATTAAATCAGCGTCTTCTAGGCAAAAATCTTTCATGATAGAAGTAAACATATCATCAGTATATGTTGATTCATTGATATTAAGACATTTATCCTCATATTTTCTTTGATGCCAAATATGCTTGCTGTAATAAATTATGATTTAAAATAATCATATAAGTTATAAAACTATATACAACAAGTAAAGTTACATGCTATATTTAAAAAACTTTGTTTCAAATGATAAAAAATTACTTACAAAAATTTTATTACTTTAATACATACTTCTAAATCATAATTAGAAATCAAACTATTTGTTAGTTTTTCAACTTTGCTATTATTTGGCAGCATTTAAATATTGGTTACATCATTTAAATGTAAAACTTTCTAGATAATCTATACTAAATATAACTTGTAACATATTATTTCTAAATTGTCATATGTTATCATTATGCAATGTTGTAATTAAATTTTTTTTTGTATAAAAAAAAATACACAAAAATTGCAATATTTAAACACAAAGATATTTTCAATAATATTAATATTTTACTGATGATTAAACATCCATAACCTATAACCACCAATGATTATATAATAAAACTCATTCAATTAAAAGATTGTTTCACAATTCATTAATACAATAAAAGATAAAAATATAGTATAATTTATAAGGCATACTAGTTTTATATATAAAAAGCATTAAAATTATAAATAGAGAGTAATGTTTTATATGCAATATTATATCTTCTTTTTCAATGACATTAATTTTAATGGTTGCTTTATCACCTTTTTCAATTACTAGCGCACTATTTAGTTTTTCAGTATTAGTATTATCTCTTTTTGTATTCCATGAAACATCATAAGTATTACAAAAAGCATAAATCATAAGAAAATTTACTTAAGAAAAAACAAGTAAAATGTATTAAATTAAGCAGATAAACATATGCTATGGTTCACAATAAATAAAGAATGAAAAAAGATATAGCAAATAAGTTAAAGCAGCAGAGATTACTATGTCACAGAATGCTACATTCTTTAAAGCTTCTTGAATACTTGAGAGGCTCTTAAAATCCATGGTGGTACTGCTTTAAATACAGTGAGATACATTGTAATATAATCAATTTTATTAGTAGATATTTTATTAGTTAAATTTATATTATTATACTTTATTAGTAAAT